AGAGGCTCTATTCGATTTTATGATGCCCGATTCGGTTTGAGGAGGCCCGTTACGATATTATGAGGTCCGATTTGATATTGAGGCCCGATTTAATTTAATGAGGCCCGTTTCTTTTGAATAAGGCGCGATTCGGTATAATGAGTCCCAATTTGATTTTAGAGGCCCGATTCGATTTTATTATTTCACATAATTTATACTTATATTAATACGGATTCATTTTTATTTTGTTTTGAACATTAACTCTTTCTGTACCTTCCAATGTTCCGGTGAGAGTCTCTTTGGTGACTTTGGTTACATTAGGGAAAGTTCTGTGTTAAATAAATATTAAATGTTTTGATTGTTTTATTTTTAATATTGTGTTCCTCGTGTTGCAGATGTATTGGCTGAAGCGATCGCGACGGACTGTGTGAAGTGCACCGACGTGCAGAAGGGCTTCGTTGGGAAGATCATTCCGTTCCTGCGCAAGAACCGCGTGGAGGAGTGGAAGCGGCTCCAAGCCAAGTACGACCCTCAAGGCGCTTGGGCCAAGGCTCACTCGGACGTCTAAAGCACTCGCCCACATCTCTGCGGGTGATCCATCCTCTCAAAATCGTCTTCCTTTTTTCTTTTTTTGCATTTTCTCTTGGGGTGTAGTGTCACTATGCGCTAAGATGGCATTATTAAATAAAATTATTTTCTTGTACTGAAAGAAATATCTTTATTCTACAACCTTAAGTCAAGTACCAACTCCTTGATTAGTGAAAGTCCTTTAGGAGAAATAGTTAAATTACCTTGGACGAGTGATGTTAGATTATTTTAGAAAAATCTGTTTAGGGAAGTAGACGATGTGTTTGCATGTAACTTCTACCGAAGGTTAGCGAGTAGTAAACTTAAGTTACCTGTGATTAAAAGTTGTTTCTAATAGTTCATAAAGAGATAAGTAGTACGATCTTTAAGAACCGTTAATAATTGAACAATAAACACATTCATTGTTGAATTGGCGAAACTTGCGATGAATGTGAAAGCAATTAATATTTCAAATGCCAAAAGGTCACTTTATTGGGTGGTGACAACGATATTGGGAATTGGATTTGACTAAACCAAAAAGTATTTAACTGTTAATTTACATTATTTTCAGTAAACTACGAAATGGATGCATGAACCGTTTCCTGATGTTTTGTATTATACAAATGAAGGTGTTAGTTCACATCTATTCATTTTGGTGCAACAGACCAACAATATGCAGCGAGATTAAGA